GGCCGGCCCTGCTTTTAGGGAGAGTGGGGCAGTTACTGCAGGCCACAGATTGCAGGGGTCCCTGTAACAGCAGCAAAACAGCAAATGATTCATTACTTAATTACGATGTTCAGACCTACACCTGGCGGATCCCCACTTTGATTCATGGCATCAGAATAGAGAGACATATATAATTTGCTCTTGGAAGGGGACGACCAACCTCCCATCAGTGTTTGCTAATAGAAGAATGCAAGCCCACCCACCCTGACTGCATATACAGTTGGACCCCCTTATCCGCAGCATCAGTATCCACTCCTCCACAGTCTGAAGAAACATTGAAAAGATTAAAAGAAAAATCCCAGAAATATATATTTCTAACGATAAAGTTAAGGGACGTGGTGGCGCTGTGGGCTAAACCACAGCAGCCTGTGCTGCAGGGTCAGAAGACCAAGCAGTCGTAAGATTGAATCCACGCGATGGAGTGAGCTCCCGTCGCCTGTCCCAGCTCCCGCCAACCTAGCGGTTCGAAAGCATGCAAATGCGAGTAGATAAATAGGTACCACCTCGGTGGGAAGGTAAACAGCGTTCCGTGTCTAAATCACACTGGCCATGTGACCACAGAAAGATTGTCTTCGGACAAAACGCTGGCTCTATGGCTTGAAGAGCGGGATGAGCGCCGCCCCCTAGAGTCGGACACGACTGGACAAAAATTGTCAAGGGGAACCTTTACCTTTACCTTTAATGATAAAGTTACTAGAATTGGCCACTGGAGGGAGCCAGAGACCACATTATATATATGTATAGCGTTCGCTAGAAATATATTTCCACAATGTCATTACCAGAACTGGCCATTTGAGGGAGCCAGAGACTATGTATGTATAGTATTTGCTATTAAAATAGTGTTTGCTATAATCTGAGTTTTCAGCACCGGAGGGGGAGGGTTGAAACTGATATCCTACGGACACAGGGGTCCTACTCTACTGCTTGCAGCTGTTCTAGTCTGGTTAAAAGGAAACACAAAACATTATGGTCTAATTATCTTTGGAGGTGGGGGGCTAACTCTGGGGTTGATGTAGCACCACCTATAGGCGTGGTCCTGACATGGCAGTCCAAGACATCAAGGATACCCATTGGATATTTTTGGTCTCTGATGTTTGCCATGTTCTCCATAATATTCATACAGAGTGCTTTTGACGTTCTGGGTTTCACCCCAGAAGAGAAAGTCGGGGTGTACAAGCTGACCGGCGCCATCATGCACTATGGAAACATGAAGTTCAAGCAAAAGCAAAGAGAGGAACAGGCTGAGCCAGATGGGACCGAAGGTAAGGAAAGGAGGGGAAGACTGTAAGGTGCAGTGGTTAGGTTGGTAGGCTTTGGACCCGAGAAGTCCAGATTCGAGTCCCCTCTGGGCCAAGAAACGGGCTGCGTGACCTTGGCCGACTCACTCTTTCTCAGCCTGGCCTCCATTGCGGGATTATTTGATTACAACGATCCAGCGATGTAGGCCAGGCTGAGAGATAAAGTGGAGAAGACGAGCGAGGTCTACCTTGACTTAATTGGAAGAAAGGGAGGGATATAATAGTAGAAGATGGTGATGATGATGATACGGCGTATGGCCAGGACAGAAAGCGAGTTGTCTGTGAAGGAGGGCAGGAGTCATAGGAGAGGGGGTGGGGAACCCAAAATTTTGGAGGGGAAACAACTTCATGGCATCTCCCTGAACTGCTTCCTGCTCTCTCTAGATGCAGACAAATCTGCCTACTTGATGGGTCTCAACTCAGCAGATCTCGTTAAGGGTCTTTGCCACCCACGGGTGAAGGTCGGCAACGAATACGTCACCAAGGGGCAAAATGTCCAACAGGTGAGTCCGTTTGTTTCTACTGGATAGGGATTTAGCCCTCTCCTCGAGAGCAGGGGTCCCTAACCCTGGGTAACCCAGATGTTCTTAGACTGCAAGTCCCAGAAACCCCAGCCGGTGCAACTGGCAGTGGAGGCTTCTGGGAGTTGCACCCGGGTTACGCAAGGTTGGAAATCAATGCTGTGAAGAAGAGATGGATATGAACCGCCGGTTAATTCTCCAGGCAGAATTCTGGGAATTCCATCCCACAACTACATATACTGGCCTTTTGCTCACCTGGACCAAGGCCTAGCCCGGGTCTTGCTTCCTCTTGTTAAAGTACTGAAAAGGAAGCAGCTGCTGTGCTTTCTTGGAAGTCGTAGTTCTGCCGCCCTTTACGCGCTATAGAAAGAGTCTCCCGTTGAACTACAGCACCCAGAAGGCACTGTGGCCGCTTTCTTTTTGGCACCTTGGCAAGAAGAAGCAAGGCCAGATCTGGCCCATGCGAGATCTTGGATGTAGGCCCTGCTCCAGGTGAGCCAAATTTAGGTGTCTTAGGTGTTGGTAGGTGTGGCTTTGTGGGTTAAAACTCCCAGAATTCCGCCTTCGGAACTCTTGGAAGAATTCTGCGAGGCGAAGTCGGAAAAAAAAAGCAGAATGGTTCACCCCTAGTAGAAATTTTGTTTTTTTTCTAAATGATCAGTGGGAATTAAATGGTGGGATTCAGGAGCAGGCTACTGAGGCCACGTCCTGGAGCTATGGGTTTCAAGAAGGGTGGGGGATCAGGGTTTCCGGTGCACCTGTCATCCGGCTCCGCTCCTCTCTGCTATGCGCTCAACAGCTGAAACAAATAATATAATACAAACGGCTCATGTCACACAAATAAATACCAATTTACAGCATTGTCTTCTCTGCCAGGGATCAGCCGTGTAGGCAAAATGGGGGTCAAGGTTGTAAAACAAGCCACAGATGCAATCTTAAAATAAGGAATTCCAAAAACAGATAAAAGCTGGGGGTGGGGATAGCATCAAAGCCTGTTCGTTCAGTGGGGCATAGGTTTGATCCGGGGCCATTCACAGGAATGTAACCACAAAAAGATCACAACCACACAAAAATCCCCAGATCTTGAGGACTGTAGTGCTCAGATTGTGAGGATCCTCGATAAAGCTGGGGGAAGACGCCATTTTCGACAACAGGTCCCAGAATCCCCTTTCGGCCGGTGTGGTTTTTTCGAGGAAATGTGGTGGTTTCTACAGGGCTGAAAAAGATGAAGGTTAAAAGACCTTTTGCTATGATGCCCTTTGGTGGAATTGAGGGCTGGGCAGTTTCGGTTTCGGTTTCTTTGTATTTGTTTTGGCACAGCCCTTGTTTATAGCAAAGCGCAAAAGCCACAGAACAACTGCCTGTTGGTGAAAAAGCTGCCTACATCTTGCAAATACCAGAGATTATTCTGTACCGACACAAAAGTCAGGAGGATCCCCGCACGAAGCTGGCTTCTTATTTTAAACTTCTCTTCTAACATGGATTATTCAGGATGACCTTCATAGCGAGGACATCTCGCATGTCCTTGCCATCGTGAAATGACATTTCCATTTAGCATCTCGTTTCCCCTACTCTGGGACCGATGCTCCGATCAGATTCACCCAGCCTCTCAAATAAAGCCATCCTGCCTCCCCAGTCCAGCAGATGCGCAGTGGTTTAAGTGATGGGCTAGGCGTTGGAAGATCTGGGTTTCAATCATGTCCCGATCATGGGACACATTGGTTGATTGTGAGGGAGTTGGGGAGAGAAGGATCTGAAGTCAACCTTGTTATCTTTGGAAGAAAGCAGGAGACACCAGGAGAGCTAGCTAGTTACATTCAACTTTCCGGTTATATCTAAACTCTAATGAGTTTTTTGAAATATGATACAGTATCTGTTTCATGCTTTTCAAATCTTGTAATCATGTATTATTTAGCTTTTAACTTTGTTTTAATACTGTAAACTGCCTTGGATCGTACAGTGGTCCCCAACCTTGGGCCTCCAGATGTTCTTGAACTTCAAATCCCAGAAATCCTGGCCAGCAGAGGTGGTGGTGAAAAGGTTTCTGGGAGTTACTGTATAGTCGAAGAACATCTGGAGGCCCAAAGTTGGGGACCACTGGTTTAAGAGAAAGGCAGCCCGGAAACATTTTAAATAAATAAACAAATAGTAAATTATCCTGGAAGAACAATGCGGTTCATTAAACCCAAATGCAGCTTCATTTCATGTGCCATAAATCGAAGTTTTATCCTAACTTAGTATGAATTGATGCTTTTGAATGGTGGTGCTGGAGGAGACTCTTGAGAGTCCCCTGGACTGCAAGGAGAACAAACCTATCCATTCTGAAGGAAATCAACCCCGAGTGCTCACTGGAAGGACGGGGCCTGAAGCTGAGGCTCCAATCCTTTGGCCATCTCATGAGAAGAGAAGAGTCCCTGGAAAAGACCCTGATGTTGGGAAAGTGTGAAGGCAAGAGGAGAAGGGGACGACAGAGGACAAGGTGGCTGGACAGGGTCATCGAAGTGACCAACATGACTTTGACCCAACTCCGAGAAGCCATGGAAGATAGGAGGGCCTGGCGTGCTCTGGTCCATGGGGTCATGAAGAGTCGGACACGACTTAATGACTAAACAACAACAAAGTATGGATCAAAAGATCCTTAAAGAAGGCAGCATTAACAGCCCCACCCCATAATAACAAGCTCCAGTTTCTAAGAAACCAGAATCTCGTCACCACTAGACCTCTGTGGCCGAGCTACTTTTCTGAGAACAGAACACTCATTCCCCCCCTTTCCTCTTTCCTCTCTCCTTCCTGGTCTTCTTGTGTCCTCTCAGGTGTACTATTCTATAGGGGCACTGGCTAAATCCGTGTATGAGAAGATGTTCAGCTGGATGGTGGTCCGAATCAACAACTCCCTGGAGACCAAGCAGCCCCGGCAGTATTTCATCGGCGTCCTGGACATCGCAGGATTTGAAATCTTTGATGTAAGTTGGTTGTAATGGGAAAGGGCAATATGGGAGCAACCCTCCTGAAAAGCAAACATCCCTGAGCCAAACCGGATAATACAATCAGGACCTCGCTGAATCAGAAGCCCTTTAAGAGGAAGTGTTTTTATTCTAAGAATAAACAGGGGAAACTTTCCTCCTTAACCCCCACTGGGGAAGCTTTCTTCGTTTTCTTTGATAATTGGCTCACTGAGAGATAAGACAGCTTTGTTTTCACCTCTGTGATCCTGAAAGATTTGTGTGACTGGAGGGATAACAATGGAAAGAAAGACACTTCCTCTGAATAGGTGATTTCCTCCTGAGCCTGCTTTTGTTTTAGAACTGGTCTTTTCGGGGATGAGCACAATATTATTTCTCTTTTAATCAGGCACCTTGTCCTTCTGAAAAAGTTTGCATGGCTGGAAAGAGAACTTTAAAAGGAGCAAAGTCATTGTCATTTACGATTTGATCCTTGATTCAGCAACCCTATGAATGAAGGACTTCTGAAAGGTCCTACCGCTAACAGCCCTGCTCAGATCTTGCATACTGAAGGGTGGTGGCTTCCTTCATTGGATCAATCCATCTTACAGTTAGTCTTCCTCTTTCCCCACCATTATTGTCATTTCTAGGGAAGGGTGCTTGATTTAATTCTCAATTTACGCTGAACTGCCACAACAAGCCAGTTCAAGAGCTTTCAAAATGCATTTCCCTGCAGACCTAAACCAAGCAAAGCACAGGGTCACTTTAAGGGACTTCCTACAAAAACTAGCAGTCTCTGACAGAGTTTCCTGTGCAAAAAAATTAGTGTCAGATTTTGCAAAGGGCAAAAAACAGACACACACACACACACACACAAACACACACACACACACACAAATCCAGCTTCCTGCGATCTCTTGAGGTCCTCACCCAAATGGTTTCGACCAAAATTAGCACCATTTATTAGATTTCATCTCTTAGTCCCTAAACTTTACAAAAACATTTCAACAATTCACCCAAATGGTTTCGACCAAAATTAGCACTATTTACGTGTTAGGTTTCATCTCTTAGTCCCTACACCTTACAAAAACATTTCAGCAATTTAGTTTCCAAATCCCGCAAGGTGGTAGTCCCCCTCTATTCAGCACTGGTTAGGCCTCACCTTGACCAGAACTGGACACCCCACTTCAAGAAGGATGCTAACAAACTGGAGCAAGTCGCAGAGGAGGGCGACAAGGAGGATCAGAGGGGCTGGAAACCAAGCCCTAGGAGGAAAGATTGAAAGAACCGGGCCTGTTAAGCCTTCAGAAAAGAAGACCAAGGGGTAATATGATAGCACTTTTCAAATATTTGAAGGCTGTCATGCAGAGGAGAGGCAAGATCTGTTCTCGATCATCCCAGAGTGCAGGACACGCAACCATGGGCTCGAGTTAAAGGAAGACAGATTCCAGGTGAATATCAGGAAAAACTTCCTAACTGTTAGAGCAGCACGACAGTGGAACCAGCAACCTTGGGAGTTGGTGAGTGCTCCAACCCTGGAGGCCTTCAAGAAAAACTTAGATAAGCACCTGGCAGATATCCCTTGATTTGTATTCCTGCCTTGAGCAGGGGGTTGGACGTGATGGCCTCGTAGGCGCCTTCCAACGTCCTTTTTCTATGATTCGAGAATGGGGAGAACACAAAGACACACCAAAAAATGTGGAAGGAGATCATGAGATGATTGTGTATAGCTCATTTAGGACTGGGGGGGCACATTAGGAAGGCCAGATCCAGTCCTAGGGAGCTTATTTCTGACCAGGAAGCCCACGGCTTATGGGTTTGTTTTTGTTTTTTTTTAATATTTCCTTCCTCAGTTCAACAGCTTTGAGCAGCTCTGCATCAACTTCACCAACGAGAAGCTGCAGCAGTTCTTCAACCACCACATGTTCGTCCTGGAGCAGGAAGAGTACAAGAAGGAAGGCATCGAGTGGGTGTTCATTGACTTTGGGATGGACCTGCAGGCCTGCATCGACCTCATCGAGAAGGTACGGGGGTCAATGAGTAATGGGAAGGTCAAGCTCGGTTGCACAAGGCGGTGCGAGGACAGTTGACGGGGTCAAGGTGCCCATTCATGTGGCGGACCCGATGTTCTCACTTCCTTCATCTAATGTGCAATATCTCACAATCCCCACAAGCAACCAAGTCTGTGTATAGAGTAGGACCTCATTATCCACGGGACCAGTTATCCACTGATTCACTTATCCGCAGTCTGAAAATATTAAAAATATTGAAAGAAAAAAAACCCAAAAGATAAATTTCTACCAATAAAGTGACCAGAACTGGTCCCTAGAGGGAGAGAGAGAGACTATGCTAAATAAAGTGTTTGTTATTTATATAATAGTTTTGCTAGAATCTGTATTTTTCAACATCTCCAGAAGGGCTTGGAACCCACCCCCCACAGATATGGGGGTCCCACTATATCTTAAAACAACCCACCAAACCAGACTTCTATGCTGCAAAAATGCTGTTGAGTTTTCCGTGTAGATAAATCAGATAACATTTCTATACAGTATATTTGCAAAAGCATGGATAATTTATCTTGTTACTGTTACTCATGGAGATAGGCAAATTGCTAAGAACGGTACCAAACCCTTGCCTGCTGCTGAAATCCCTCCTAGACTTCTGAGAAGTGGCCTTGAGGGCTAGAAACTTGATTTTGAGAAGAAAGCCTGAGATGTGTTTCTCTGAGCGCTGAACCAGTGCTAATTACTACCCAGTGGTAGTTACTGGGTTTTCTCAGGACTGCTACATAACGGATCGGGTCCATGCTATCTCATGGATGGCATCTCCCTTCACAAGCCTGCTTGGGTGTCCAGATCATCAGGGGAAGTCTTTCTCTCAGTCCCATCATACTCACAGGTGCGTTTGGTAGGGACACAGGAGAGAGGGCCTTCTCTGTGGCTGCTCCCAGACTTTGGAACTCCCTCCCACTGGAAGCCAGCCCGGCCCCATCTTGGCTATCTTTCCACAAGCAGGCAAAGACTATTCTCTTCAGGCAAGCTTTACCTCAGTGACCGGCTACCTGAGTGGGCTTTTTAATTAGATTGTTGTGTCTTACTGCTTTGGATGAGTTTTTGGTGTTGCTTTTGTTTACTGTTTTTTTTAGTGTGCCCTTTGTTTGATCCCTTTTAGTTATTTGTATACTTACTGACTTTTAGCTTTAAATATTATCTTTTAATGATGAGAGCCACCTTGGGTCCTTTTCTAGGAGAAAGACGGGGTTAAAAAAACACACATTTTGAATAAATAAAATAATTAATGGACACCGCTAGGGAGACAAAGTGACCGTCCGTGAATGACCCTGTCATTCCACCTTGCCTCGTGATTTTTTTCCTTCCTTTGACCAGCCGCTGGGCATCATGTCCATCTTGGAGGAAGAATGCATGTTCCCGAAAGCGACGGACATGACCTTCAAGGCCAAGCTGTATGACAACCACTTGGGCAAATCCAATAATTTTGGGAAGCCCCGGAATGTGAAGGGCAAGCCGGAGGCCCACTTTTCCCTGATTCATTATGCCGGCACGGTGGACTACAACATTATAGGCTGGCTGGAGAAGAACAAGGATCCTCTCAACGAGACCGTGGTGGGCTTGTACCAGAAATCGTCCCTCAAGCTTCTGGCTACGCTTTTCTCCAGCTATTCCGGCACCGAGGCTGGTGAGAGAGTGGGCGGGAAGGCAGAGGAAATGAGGACCTGGAGAATGTCATGAGCGGATGAAGGAAGGATGGAAAGAGGACGTAGAGCGGATGAAGGCGGGATGTGTAGGGCGAAGGGCAGATAGAAGATGGACGGAAACTCAGGGGTGGGCACGTAGGATGAAGGCAAATGAAGAATGAGTGTGTGGGATGAAGGACAGACGAGAGACGGACATGTAGGATGAAAGACAGGTGAAGGGTAGACAATGAAGGGCAGATGAAGGAGAGATGAACGGTGATGCTAAAGAATAGATACGTAGGATGAAAGCATGCGAAGGATGCATGTGTAGGATAAACGACTGTGGCGATCTCTACAGCTGAGGGCAGGACTGTTCACTACAACGATAAAGAATAGATACGTAGGATGAAAGCATGTGAAGGATGCATGTGTAGGATAAAGGGCCATGACGGAGTGGAGGAAATGTGAACAAAGGACAGACATGGTAGGATGAAGGGCAGATGAAGAATTCATGTATCAGATGAAGGACAAGTGAAGGATGGATTGATGGCGAGGGCAATCGTGCAATGGATTGTAGGATGAACGTCCGTGAAGGGTGGATGTGAGTCGGATAAAAGGCTGATACAGAGTGGAGGGTGATGAAGGGTGAAGGAAGGGTGGAAATGTAAGATGAAGGATGAAGAGATAGTGAGAGGTGGGGGTATAAAATAAGTGCAGGTACTGGATGAATCTGGTAATAGGTCACAACTAGAGTGGTGGAAATGTAAGATGAAGGATGAAGAGAAAGGGAGAGGTAGGGGTATAAAATAAGTATAAAATATTGGATGAATCTGGTAATAGGTCGCAACTAGAGTAGAGAAGACTCCCTAGAAAAGGCCCTGATGTTGTGAAAGAGTGAAGGCAAGAGGAGAAGGGGACGACAGAGGACGAGATGGTTGGGCAGGGTCACCGAAGTGACCAACAGGAATTTGACCCGACTCCGGGAGGCAGTGGAAGACAGGAGGGCCTGGCGTGCTCTGGTCCATGGGGTCATGAAGAGTCGGACACGGCTAAACAACAACAATAACAAAGAGTAGACTCATTGAATCACCAGGGAATTGGTGAGTCAACTCCTCAGGAAGTCCCATGATTCAATGGGTCTGCTCTAGCTGCAACATCCTACCAGATTTCAGACGATGGATGGATGTGAAAAGGGTGAACAGAGCGCCATCCGGGGTGGATGGACGATGAGGCCTGAATGGATGGAGACGTGGATGGAGAATGAGAGAGGAAGGAAAGATCGTGAAGGGAGGATGAGCAGAAAATGAAGGATGGATGGAGGGTGGAGAACATATGAGGGGTGAATAGAGGCGTCGATGGCAAGCAAGGGAGGGAGAGAAGAATAAAGAATGAGATGGATGGAGATGGAAGAAGGGATGAATGGAAGCAAAACGATGGATAGAGGATGAGGGAAAATAGATAGATTGTGAGGGATGGAGAATGGCTGACGGAGGGGGTGAAAGAGAGGGCAGGTCACGTTCCTGGACTGGGAAAGGTTTGTGTCGCTGAAGGTATTCGGCCTTGGTGTGTCTCCAAAGTCATGCTGAGCAGCTGACCCGACTTCTGTGTCTTCTCTGTTCCCAGGTGGAGACGGAGGCAAGGGGAAAGGATCCAAGAAGAAAGGGTCGTCATTCCAAACGGTTTCTGCACTACATCGAGTAGGATGGCTTAAGATCTACGAATGCTAGAGGAAGCTTCCGGGATTGCTTTTCCCTGGGAAGCCACGGGGAATCGGGGTGGGGGTGGGTGGCCAGGTGAACACTGTTGTTCTTGGACTGCAACACCCAAGAAACCCAGCCACCAGAGCTGGTGGCAAAGGCTGCTGGGAAGTGTAGTCCAAGAACACCCCAGGTGGGGGAACCACCGCTGTCGGTAATACCCACGGGTCCATAAATCTGTTCTTGGGATACCCTGGGAGTCACTTGGAGGAGAAAGAGATGGAAACGCAACAGCACCATCCAGAGCGGAGGCTCCTGCTTGCTTGTCGGGTTCATTCATTTATAGGCCACTTTTCTCCCATAATCGGAACCCGAGGCAGCTTCAACCTATGCGGGATAGATTTATGCTTTGGATCACAATTTAGGTGTACTCCAGCATTGATCCTTGGACTTGGTCTTGTAGCTAGGCAGGCATTTACACAGTTAAAGTGGCACCTGTTCCTGAAGGTGTCGGATTTGGCTACAGTGGCCCACCCCTTAGTTCCACCTTGACTGGACTGCTGCAAGGTGCTTTACCTGGGGCTGCCCTTGAAGTGTGTTTCTAAAACTTCAGCTGGTCCAAAACAGGACAGCCAGGCTCAACTTTTCTAGAATGTTCTGGTCTCTTCTGCCCCCTTCTGCCAAATCGATAATCTATAATAATGTAGAACGATCTATGATCAACTTAGCACTGCCGAGCTGGAACAAACCCTCTGGATCATCAGGTCCAGGGCTTGTGAAGGAGACCCTGGGGTGGGGAGAGATTCAAACTCATGACCTCTGGCTCCACAGCCAGATGCCTAAACCACCGAGCTACAAGATACCTCTAGACCTCCGGGTGCTCTGTGTTCAGAGACAAGACCCCTTCCTCTAATCATCAGAGCTCACATTTAAGGTGCAAGGGGCAATCTCCTCTTCCACCCACCCCAAATCCCTGCTAATAGCTCAAGGGAGAGAAGCCAATGCAACGAGACCGATCCTTCCCCTCGTGCCTCACTTTCCCCCCTGTCTCTCGCAGGAGAACCTGAACAAGCTGATGGCCAATCTCAAGACCACCCACCCTCATTTTGTCCGGTGCATCATTCCCAACGAACGGAAAGCCCCAGGTAACCAAGCGGGGTGTGTGGAGGTGGGGGTGGCAGCCTAGGTGGGAGAGTCCAGTGATGCAATTTTAGAGAGCTGGGGGGAATAGAGGGAGGGGTCTCTTTGGTTGATCTGCTGCTTCCTCGCCAGCACGGTCATCATCATCATCATCATCATCTACTGGTTCCCCACCCCACTCCCGGTTTTCCTCCCTTGTTGACTAAATGCCAGTAAAGACGGGGATTGATTCTTCATCCTCACGATGGCTGTCATGAGTATTCTCTCACCCAGAGGAAGGGTAGGTGGGCGCTGGCCCTACTGTTGGGCGACGGGTCCCAGGATTCAGACCTTGCAGGGCAGCTGTCACCTGGTTGCTCTTCTGGAGGCCCCGCCCCCGCGGTCCTTTCTTCTCTCTTGAGGAGCAGAGCATGGTGTGCCATACAGCCTCTTCCCCTAAAAGATTTTATTCCCCTAAGTTTCAACGGGCGACCCAGCGTGGTGCGTAAACGAAGGGGTGTGTCGTTTAACAAGAGTGGTACAAGACCCAGTGAAGCACAGGCTCTGGAGGACGGGCCTTTCTAGACCATTGGGGGCTCACCCCCTCTCCCCATTTTCTTCTTCTAGGTGTGATGGACAACCCCTTGGTCATGCACCAGCTACGATGCAATGGGGTTCTGGAAGGGATCCGGATCTGCCGGAAAGGATTCCCCAACCGGATCCTCTATGGGGACTTCAGACAAAGGTGAGGCTGCTCCTTACCATGAAAGATGGTGGTTTGGGTTTTTTTTTCCCCCCCTAAATCCTTCTACTGCTTTCCGTCTGTCCCAATGGCTCCCAAACAGGGTAGATATTTTTTTAAAAAAATCAATGGTTTTTAAATGGTCAAATTGATTGAAATTGTGATTTTTTTAAAAAAAAATAATTTTTTTAAAAAATGATTTTTTAAAATTTAAATCATTAAAAAAAACTTTTTAAATAAATCTTTTTTAATTTTTTTTTAAAATCATGATTTAAGGTAAACCAAATCCACCCCGTCCCGAAGCCTTTCTCAGCTGTACTTCTGTGACTTGTGATGTTGTTTTAGGTACAAATGAGAAGACCTCTGGCTCCTTTGGTTAAAGTGTGGTCTTGTCAGCGGTGGAGAATAATGACATGATAGGGCAGTGGAGGGACCTCCTGCAGTACCTGAAGTACAAGCCAAGCTTTTATTGGGAGGGGGACCCAAACCAGTTTTCTGTTCAATCTGATGGATTTCTAAAAAGTTTTGAAGAAGCAAGAAGACTTGGCTTCCAAGATGATGGTGTTCTGATTAAAGTGGCCCCTGTGTGTTTACTTCTGTGCCCCTATAAAACACACATTTTTTTTATTTTTAATTTTTTTGTGAAAAGTAAGTTTTCTGACTTAATAGACTTTGCATGGGACGCCAGAAAAAAAAATCTTATGATGTTTGCAATGGAAGCTGACGAAATCTATCCCTTTTCGACTAGGTACCGCATCTTGAATCCAGCTTCCATCCCCGAGGGCCAGTTTATTGACAGCCGGAAGGGAGCCGAGAAGCTTCTGGGTTCACTGGACATCGACCACAACCAGTACAAATTCGGGCACACCAAGGTGACCTGAACAGGGACTATGATCTCTGGCAATGCTTAGATATGCAATTTTCTTGGACTGCAACTCCCAGAATCCCCCAGCTTACTGACCAAGGAGTTGTAGTTATAAGAAGCAACTTTTCCCAAGCTCTCCTTTAAAGATTGTGTGTGAGTGTATGAAAAATCAGGATGCAACCATGTCTGCATGTTTTTTTTTAAATCTCTCTCTCCCACTCCACCAGGTTTTTTTCAAGGCTGGCTTGCTGGGCCAGTTGGAAGAAATGCGTGATGAGCGTCTCGCCCGCATCATCACGCGTATCCAAGCACGAGCCCGGGGTCAGCTCATGCGCATTGAGTTTAAGAAGATTCTAGAGCGCAGGTGAGCCCCAGGAGAAGGCTGTGGGCAAGTGGGTGGGATCAGGAGAGGAGAAAATTATTTTTAGTGGTCGTGGATGGGTGAGATTCACGATAAGGAAGAGTTGTCGACAAACTACTGGCAGTTCATTCTTTTCTTAGACAAACCACTGGTTAAAACTTCCCAATGTTCAGCTGATGTTCCATCAATAAAAGCATAAAATAGAAGATAGCTCTGGACACCGCTTTAAGAAGGACACCAACAAACAGGGATAAGTTCAGAGGGGGGCACCAAGGATGGTCAGGGGACTGGAAATCAAGCGGTGTGAGGAAAGACGGAAAGAACTGGCCTTGTTTAGCCTTGAGAAAAGAAGACTGAGGGGAGAGAGGAGAGCACTTTTCCAAATACTTGAAAGCTAGTCATACAGAGGAGGGGAAGGATCTGTTCTGGATTATCCCCCGAGTGCAGGGCATGTTATAATGGGCTCAAGCTACAGGAAGCCAGATTTAGGCTGAATATCATGAAAAACATCTCAACTGTTAGAGCAGTATGAAGATGGAACCATTGATTTCGGGAGGTGGTGAGCCCTCCGATGCTGGAGGCCTTCAAGAGAACATTGGACAACTACCTGTCCGATCTGCTTCGATTTGGATTCCTGCCTTCAGGTCCCTTCGAACTCTATGATTTGATAGCTTCTTTATCCTGGAGATCTCTGTGTGGTTTCTGAATGAGGCAGCCCTCAGAGTCTGGGACAGGAGAGAGTATGAAACAAATTTTCTGAAGACTTCCGTTGCCTTCCTTCATCTCTCTCTCTTCTCCCCTAGGGACGCCCTGCTTGTGATTCAGTGGAACATCCGTGCTTTCATGGGGGTTAAGAACTGGCCTTGGATGAAGCTGTTCTTCAAGATCAAGCCTCTGCTCAAAAGCGCCGAGACGGAGAAGGAGATGCAGGTGACGTCCGGAAGCGAGGGCTAAAACAGAAAGACCGAGAAACCCAGCCAGGGAATCTCAGCAGCTTTTTTTTTCAGTAGCCCAGAAGCTACAGTACTTGCATGGGTTTTGCAGCCCAGAAATCCATGGCCCTTGAGCTTACTCCTGAGTAGAAAAGGACTGGATTGAGCTCTTTGTGCATGCTGGGTAGGGGGAAAGGTCCAAGGAGGGACATGTGGGTCCCAAGCGTGTAACCACCGCCACCCCACCCCAGATTATTCCTGCACCAGAATTGGAGCCTACCGCTGTCTTCAAAAGGGATTTCCCCGCTTGGGTTGGCCGGTTGGTCGGTTGTGTGAATAGTTTCGTATTCTTTCCCAGCGCTGTCCTATGCAGGAGACCTTTAAATATGCACTGCAGACCTGGAAGGAAGGAATACACCAATCCATGGCGTGGCCATTTAAAAACGCCACTGGATTCAAAGTCCTACAGGCCTGATCATCTTGTTTGTATCCTTCTGCAGAACATGAAGGAAGAATTTGAGAGGCTGAAAGAAGCGCTGGAAAAATCAGAAACACGGAGGAAAGAGCTGGAGGAGAAGATGGTGTCCCTCCTTCAGGAGAAAAACGACCTGCAGTTACAGGTTCAGGCTGTGAGTATATTCCTACTCCTGTCTGCCCCTTTATTTCTCCTCTGAGCTTCAAAAGGTTACTTTTTTTCAGATTACAACTCCCAAAACTTGTTCTTATTCACTGCACGAAGGTCCACACAGATGCTCCCTGTTTGTTGACACCTTTCACAAGTCCTTTTGTGGATGCTGTGGCTGGGGATGATGGGAGCTGGTAGCCCGAGCCCGTGGAGGGTACCAAATTGGAGACGGGGTGAAGTTCTCTCTCTCTCCTTTCCTCTTCACTTTCCTCTTCTTGTGCTTCCTCCCCCCCCCTCCAGGAACAAGATAACTTGAACGACGCCGAGGAACGTTGCGACCAGCTGATCAAGAACAAAATCCAGCTGGAGGCCAAAGTGAAGGAGCTGACGGAACGGATCGAGGACGAGGAGGAGATGAACGCCGAGCTGACCGCCAAGAAGCGGAAGCTGGAGGACGAGTGCTCGGAGCTGAAGAAGGATATCGACGATCTGGAGCTGACCCTGGCCAAGGTGGAGAAGGAGAAGCACGCCACGGAGAACAAGGTGGGTGCAGGAGAAGCGGAGACTCTTCGGAAGGCGGTTTCTCGGAGAGAGGCGCAGGTTGAGAGTTTGTGTTCCATCTTGGGACTTGATCTTCCACCAGGTGAAAAATCTCACAGAGGAGATGGCTGCTCTGGATGAGACCATCGCCAAGTTGACCAAGGAGAAGAAATCCTTGCAGGAGGCTCATCAGCAGGCTCTGGATGACCTTCAGGTGGAAGAAGACAAGGTCAACACCCTCACCAAGGCCAAACTGAAGCTGGAACAGCAGGCGGATGATGTGAGTCCAATACCACAAGAAAAAAAAGTGGGGTTCTCCTAGACATGGACCCATGGAGTTGCTTTATATTGAGTCACATCCCTTGAGTTTGTCGAAGGACACCGTGTTTATTGTTGGGCACTTATAATGATCAATAAAATAGTATTGCATCTTGCGATGGGTCTCCCACCCCGAAGGGTGAGTTCTATGGGGGGTTTTTCACTTTAAGGTTGGATCTGGTCCTCAGCTAAGGAAATCAAGTCGATGTCTTGAATGCTAGAGATACTGGTTCTACCTTAGAAGAGGTAGCTGTGTTACTTTGTGCAAGCGTCTCAGGCAAAATTCAAGAAACGAAAACAAAAATGAAATGGAAACGAAAGATAAAAACAGGCGGCATCTTAAACGTGGATGTGTCCACGTCATGAAAGCTCACGTTAAAATATAATCGTTCGTTTTTAAGGTGCCAGATATTTTTTGTCTTTTTTGATTCGTTTTGTTTTCTTTCTTTAGATTTTGCCTGAGATTCTTTCTTGATTTATCCTCATGGGAGGGAAATGAGCAACCTCTGAATTATTCCCCCTTGCTCTGAAAGACTCTCTCCTTAAAAGGACCCAAGGCGGCTAACATCGTTAAAAAGACAATGTTTAAGTGCTAAGAGCAGTATGTTTAAAAAAATCTTTTTAAATTAAACAAGTATGACATCAAAAATAGTAATCAAAATCAATAGTAAAAACACATTTTAAAAGCAACAGAGCACAACAGCCCGTTCAAAACCCAACTCAGACAGATAGTTACTAAGGAAAAACCTGTCTGAAGGGAAAGAAGGTCTTTTGCCTGCTTGTGGAAGGACAGCAAAGATGGGGACAGGCTGGCCTCCAGTGGCAGGGAGTTCCAAAGTCTGGGAGCAGCCACAGAGAAGACCCCTTCTCCTGTGTCCCCATCAGACACACTTCTGAAGTTGGTGGGACCAAGCAAAAGGACCCCCTGATGATCTTAATGCCCGGGCAGGCTCATAGAGGTCTTTTATGTCCCTTCTGAATACCATGTTCTGCAGTCCAAAGCTTTAAGGCATTGCTTGTTCATGACAGCTGCTTCTCAATTTTCTTCCTTCTTCCGATTCTACCCCACCAGTTGGAAGGCTCCCTGGAACAGGAGAGGAAGATCCGGATGGATCTGGAGCGGGCCAAGAGGAAGCTCGAGGGGGATTTGAAGCTGATGCAGGAGAACATCATGGATTTGGAGAACGACAAGCAACAACTGGAAGAGAAACTCAAAAAGTAGGAGAGCCACGTCTTCTCCGCACGGTTTGGAGAGCGGTCCGCGTTTCAGGACTGGGGTGGAGAGACAGTGGAGGAAGCTAAAGATGGGATGAGGAGGGGCGGCCGCCTGATGCGTCCACTGCGGCAGAAAGGAGGTCACTGGAGTTGGCCTATCAGGCTGTTGGGCCAGGCTTTGCCGTCTGTCCTTGCAAGGGGTGACCTGGGCTTTTCTTGCTACCGGTTGCAGAATGGATGGCTGCCACTGGACTGGAAAGAGCCCCAGTTGACCACCAGCCAGTCAGAAAACCCCTGGGAGGCACCGGGTTCTAGATACCTCTTATGTTCTAGACTAGAGGGACATGACCAGAGTTGGCTAGAAGGTTTTGTTGCTTGGAGGTGCTTTGCTGCCTTCTCGAGCCAAGGACCTTGCCGGCAGGAGCACCTCGAGCTGAAACAGCAATTGGGGAAAATCTGGGCAGACCGGAGAAAGAGACGGAGATGTCTTGTTTCAGGAAGGAGTTTGACATCAACCAGCAGAACGGCAAGATTGAAGACGAGCAGGCCTTGGCCGCACAGCTGCAGAAGAAACTGAAGGAGCTGCAGGTAAGGTGGCCTTTAGCTTTTCAACGGCCTTCCACTCTAGAACGGGTCTGCCTGACGAGAAAGGACCCCCTTTAGCTCTAGAATGGCCCTTTGCCCTTCCTTTTTCCTGTGCAACCTCTTCTAGAACAGGACTCTGATCTAGATTTTTCTTGCCCCAGCCTTTGAAATTCCTATTCCAGAAAAAAAAACACCAGTGTTTTGGTCTAGAAATCTCTTTGCCTCACTTTGGAGAAACCCTCCATTCAAGAACATCTCCTATCCACCTGCCGAGCGAGTGTGGGTCCTGTTGCCAGTTTTGTCCAATGCTGTCAAGATCTCGTTGCAGAGTTTGGAGCTTTTGGTTAAAATCCTCTAAAACAGACATGCAAGCATTCACAGAGGGGAATAGTTTCATGTTTCCCCTATGAGTCCACCCCTTTTCCTCATTAATTGGTGCTTTCAGTCTCGATAACTCACTCTTTTATAGTGAGATATTTATAGAGGAAACCATAACTATCACTAGTTATGACAGATCAACAGCAAACTAACAAAACGGCAGACTGCTTCAACAACAGACTTCAACAGTCTACAGAGAGGGAGCGAAGCTGAGTAGAGAGACGGGGCACTCTCTTAATTCAGAGACAGGAGGAAACCCTTGGTATGTTCTGGATTGAATGATAGTCACTAGAAAAGCCCCTCCCAGCCACACCTACTAGACACAGCGTGCCAGGTTGTAAAAACCAACAGATTTTGCATCATTCAGATGTACAGTGGTGCCTCGCTTAACGAAGATAATCCGTTCCAGCGAAATCCCTGTAGAGCGAAATCCTCGTTAAGCGAAATAAAAAATCCCATTGAAACGCATTGAAAACCCGTTCAATGCGTTCCAATGGGCTGAAAAACTCACCGTCCAGCGAAGATCCTCCATGGGGCGGCCATTTTCGGTGTCTGTAAAGCGAGGAATCCGTCCAAAAACACAGCGGGGAGCCATTTTACACAGCAAGCGGCCATTTTGAAGCCGCTGATCAGCTGTGTTAAAAACGTCGTAGTGTGAAGAATTGGTTGCCTGCTTTGGGAACCGATCATCGCAAAGCAGATTTTGCCTATTAAAACATCATTTTGCGATCGCAAAACAGTCATCGTATAGCGGTTTTGTCATTTAACGAGGAAATCGTTAAGCAACAAACCACTGTAACAAAAAAACCAAGGATGTAATATAGATCTATTCCAGCGGGGAAAAATGATGTGTGTAGTTCTGTTAAAGAGACTGTCCTCCTTTTCTTCATGGTTCAGGCACGGATCGAAGAGTTGGAAGAGGAGCTGGAAGCGGAAAGGATGTAGCTAGAGATGGACGACTTGGGGACCAACATGGAGCAGCTGCTGAAAGCCAAGGTGCCATCTTTCTGGAGAGGGAAGCGTTAAAGCTAGCCAAACGCGTTTGAGGACACTTAAGCTGACATGCTGGAGTCTTTCCCATTTTGAGGGCAGTCCACTGGTAGGTAGAAGTGGAAAGCAGCAAGGAAAAGGCAGTGGGGTACAGTGGCAAGAGCTTTTGTCTCAGAAGAAGGAAATCTCGGTTGAAGCTGAGCTGGAGAAGGAGAAGAGCGAGCTGAAGCTGGAAGTGGACGACATCACCTCCAACATGGAGCAGTTGCTGAAAGCTAAGGTTTGGTGTCCACCAAAGGAAGGCAGGGCTCCATTGGGGGGGCGGAGATATGGTGATGTCAAGAGGGCAGGGCGGAGCTAATTTTTAGAGGCAGGTCCAATGTTAGAGAAGATTCGGGAGTAGAATGGAAGTTCGCGATAAGGTCAAAGTTTGGAGAAGGGAGTTGAAGACATGAAATCAGCTAATTTGGGAATAGAAAAGGATGTAGCTAGAGATGGACTACTTGATGCCCAACATGGAGCAGCTGCTGAAAGCCAAAAGTGCCATCTTTCTGGAGAGGGAAGCATTAAAGCTAGCCAAACGCATTTGAAAACACTTAAGCTCACGTGCTGGGGGTCTTCCCCATTTTGAGGGCAGTCCACGGGTAGGTAGAAGTGGAAAGCTGCGAGGAAAAGGCAGTGGGGTACAGTGGCAAGAGCTTTTGTCTCAGAAGAAGGAAATCTCGGTTTAAGTCCGCCATGAACTATGAGACCTGAAGGAGGCCACTAAGTGGCCTTGGGCCAGTCACTCTTTTTCAGCCTGGTTGAAATCACAGGATTTTTTGCACAGTTGCTCCAGACATTTTGGGAATGTCTGGATAAGAACATGGACATGGACCCCATTTTATCCAGAAAGAAGTAAGAGAGATGGGAGGCATGAGGGAATTATTACAGAGTCGATCACCCCGATGATTTTACACAATAACAGGATATGTTGCCTCTGCTTGAAGGTTTGATCCAGCTTTTTCAGTCCACTCTTTTGTTATCTTTAGAGATTCTGATTTCTTGGTCCTTTTTGGCCTTCTCGGGCTTATTTTCTCCTGCCTCTCCGCAGGTGAATTTGGAGAAGATGTGCCGGACCTTCGAGGATCAATCCGCAGACTACCGGGCCAAGCTCGAGGAGACCCAGCGGACCCTCAACGACACCAACACGCAACGAGCAAAGCTGCAGACCGAGAACGGTAAGTCTTCTTCTGTACTTCCTTTTTGTTTCCTCTTGCTGTTCTCGTGACGGTCACTAGAGGGGGACAAACTGCTCCTTTAGGGAATGGAATACAACGGTGCCTCTACTTAACGAACGTCCCTACTTGCAACCATTTCGAGTTGCGTCCATCTTCTGGAACGGATTACGGTCGTAAGTCGAGGCACCGCTGTATAAACTTTTTCTATTCCTTGCTCTCAGGAGAACTCGCCCGTCAGTTGGAAGAGAAAGAGGCCTTGGTTTCCCAACTGACTCGGGGCAAACAGTCCTACAACCAGCAGATGGAAGACCTGAAGAGGCAATTAGAAGAGGAAGCCAAGGTGAGATCATTCCTTGAAAAAAAGTTGGATCCAGAGCTGCGCTTGGGATACAAGAGAAAGACAGGGCTGGGCGAAATAGCCGAATTTGACCATGCCTCTTCCCAATGCAGGCCAAGAACGCCTTGGCGCATGCGCTCCAGTCGGCCCGCCATGACTGCGACCTGCTGAGGGAACAGTACGAGGAGGAGTCTGAGGCGAAAGCGGAGCTCCAGCGCTTGCTGTCCAAGGCCAACTCCGAGGTGGCGCAGTGGAGAACCAAGTACGAGACCGACGCCATCCAGAGGACTGAGGAACTGGAGGAAGCCAAGTAAGGAAGAGAGAGCTTCCGTGGGAGCTGATCCGTGGACGGGCATACCTAAATGACAGGCTGGGCTGCTGGAGGGATGTCTGGTCCTGAGGTTCAAGCATGACAAGGAAAAAAAACAAAACAAATGCACAGTTACAAGATGAGGAAAATCCGGAAGCTGAGTGATGGCCACTGGGCCTTCTTCCTTGTTAGGGTGAAATGTTTTGCTCCTCATCCAAGAAGCTTCGTCAGTCTGAGGAAAGTTGGTAGGAGATCGCTGATAGGTCCTCCACGTTGCTTTCTCTTCCCCCTGGTCTGAAAACCAACGTGGAGGATCTATCAGGGGTCTCTTACCAGCTCTCTTCAGACGGAAGAATGTGCTTGGATGAGGAGCAAAACGTTTCCACCTAACAAGAAAGAAGGTCCAGTTGCCATGATGACTCACCTTCCACATGACCTCACCTGGAGGACCGAGAATCTTCACAGATACAAAGATGAGGGATAATTGGTTCAGTAATACTGTGTTTCCCCGAGAATAAGACAGGGTCATATTAATTTTTTGCTCCAAAAAACACATTAGGGCTTATTTTCAGGAGATGCTTTATTTTACAGTCATGTCATCATCTTCTGGTTGCTGCAGAATGCTGCACAAGGGTGGAGGATGGGGCTTCATTTCACTGGGGCTTATTTTTGGGGTAGGGCTTAGATGACAAGCATCCTGAAAAAATCATCCTAGGTCTTATTTTCAGGTTAGGCCTTATTTTCAGGGTAACAGGGTACTACAAGTAAGAAGGATCTTGGAATTGTTGCAGATCACACTTTGAGGATGAGCCAAGAGTGTGATGTGGTTGCAAAAAAGGCAAATGCGATTTTAGGATGCATTAACAGAAGGATAGTCTCCAAATTCTGTGAGGTACTAGTTCGCTTTTCTTCTTCACTGGTTAGGTCTCAGCTAGAGTACTGTGTCCAGTTCTGGACACCGCACTTTAAGAAAGATGCTGACAAAATGGAGCAAGTTCAGAGGAGGGCAACAAGGAGAATCAGGGGACTGGAAACCAAGCCTTCAGAGGAAAGACGGAAAGAACTGGGCAGGTTTGGCCTTGAGAAAAGAAGACTGAGGGGAGAGAGGAGAGCACTTTTCCAAATACTTGAAAGATAGCCATACAGAGGAGGGGAAGGATCTGTTCTCAATCATCCCAGAGTGCAGGACATGTAACCAACTGTAAGAAGCCAGATTTTGGTTGAAGATCAGAAAAAAATGTCTTAACTGATAGAGCAGTACGACAATGGAACCCATTGCCTCAGGAGGTGGTAAGTGCTTCTACACTGGAGCCCTTCAAGAGAAATTTGGACAACCCTCTGTCTGATCTTCTTTGATTTGGATTTTTTTGCATTGAGCAGGAGGTTGGACTCCATGGGTTTATAAGACTCAGTCATTCTATGATTCTACGATTCTAAGGGTAAACAACAGAAGGTTTCCTTGTCCCGAGACGTGTCAAGAGTGCAGGACTCACGTGATGAAAGCCGTGGGACCTTTTAAACAGCAGGGATTTATGGCACCTTCCATCATCCCAGGATTTCCTGTTGCCCCTGAGTTTAGCAGCAGTGCTTTCAATAGCTGGCGAAGAAATGGATTTCCCCCAGGAACGGTATACGGTTGAAAACTATCTCTGCTTCAGCGTGACATACACGGAGGTGGTTTGGTCCTGAATAGGCAATTGAGAGCCGTTGTCTTTACAAAAGTCCTGCTCCTTAATAGTTGATATGCAGCGATCCTGCGTTTTAGACTCTCTTTATGGAGTGGGGCAGCCTTAGGGTCTCAGCAATATTTCCCTGTTTTATTATTTTGTACCCTCGCCCGCATGGGTTCTGTTCCATCCGCTTCTTCTTTTTTTACCTTTCCCCCCACAGTCCTCCACTCCGCCCCACCCCACCGCCCCACGGAGATCCCTCTGCACAGGTGGTTCCTCGAACGGCGAAGCTTTTGGCTCGGGTTATATTTTAAAATGGACGTGTATAAGACGAGCAAAAAGCTTGTTGGTTGGAGGAGAAATCCCCACTTTAAAAAAGGACAAAGGTAGGTGGTGTAGGAAAGGATTCCTCCTTGGAAACACCCAGCAGCTTTTGGTGACTAGGGTGGGAGGAGGTTCCCGTGTGCCTTGTGAGGCTCAAAGGCACAGCCTAAAGTCATAACCTTGCTCCTTTTTTTAGAAGCCAGGGGAGTTCTTTTTTTATTTGAAAAAAGTAACATATGGTGTTTTCACCTCCATCATGGAGCACGCTTCGAAGCCAGCAATAACAGCAGGCAGCCTTAGGGGTCTTTCTCCGGCACTATCGCTGAATGGAACTGTACCTTTTCTATTTTTACCCAGTTACAAGTTTTCAGAATAGTTGTTTCTCTTCAGGAGCCACCAGCCGAGAACTCGTTGGCTACGATCTGCAAAGGATAAATAAACAATAGTCTTAGATTTTACAAACCAGGTGTTCTGGCTGTCTAAGGTTTGTGATGAGGCCATCACCGTTCTTTGCTCTGCCATCACTCCTGTCTTTCTTCACAGAAAAGAGGAGACCGCTTGCCGTCCTTGAGTCATCTTTGTCTTGCTGTCCTCCTTGGTCTCACACAAAGTTCTTCCGACCCCTGAGCCCTAAAATTCCCCCCAACTTTTCTCACCATTCCTATCAGCAAAAATACAACCATCCACATGGGATATCCAACCATTTGTTATCCTTGCATGACATCCTTCTGCCCAACGGCAGGGCCGGCCTAGCTTGCCATGGAATGGGGATCCTCCTTTGGCAGTTGACTCAATGTCGCCCCCACTCCCGTCACAGGAAGAAGCTGGCACAGCGGCTACAGGACGCGGAGGAGGCGGTGGAGGCCGTGAACGCCAAGTGCTCCTCGCTGGAGAAGACCAAGCACCGCCTGCAGAACGAGATTGAAGACCTCATGGTGGACGTGGAGCGTTCCAACGCGGCGGCCGCTGCCCTAGATAAGAAGCAGAGGAACTTTGACAAAGTAGGGTGGAGAGAACAGAGGGAAGACCCTGGGAGCGGTGGGCGGAGATCGAGAGAGAGAGCATGACATTGTGGGCACTTTGGCGCCACCCAGTGGGGATTCAGAGCACTTTGTCTCCACCTAGTGGCCATACGTGGTGGCTCTGTGGGCAGGGGACGTGGTGGTGCTGTGGGCTAAACCACAGAAGCCTGTGCTGCAGGGTCAGAAGACCAAGCAGTCGTAAGATCAAATCCACATGACGGAGTGAGCGCCCGTCACTTGTCCCAGCTCCCGCCAACCTAGCGGTTCGAAAGCATGCAAATGCGAGTGGATAAATAGGGACCACTTCAGAGGGAAGGTAACAGTGTTCCGTTTCTAAGTCGCACTGGCCATGTGACCACGGAAGATTGTCTTCGGACAAAACGCTGGCTCTATGGCTTGGAAACGGGGATGAACACCGGCCCCTAGAGTCGAACACGACTGGACAAAAATTCTCAAGGGGAACCTTTACCTTTACCTTAGTGGCCATACAGAGTACTTTAGCTCCACCTAGTGGAGATTTGGATAAGGTGAGGGACTCCTCTGGGGAGGAAGGGAAAGGACCCAAGTGGAGGAAGAGGAGAAGGAGCAGGAGAGAACGGGAGGAAACCTTTTCATGTGCAAATAAGATTTTGCTCCTCTTTTTTCCCCCTCCATTCCTGCAGATCCTCGCCGAGTGGAAACAGAAGTTTGAGGAATCCCAGGCAGAGCTGGAGGCGTCCCAGAAGGAGACCCGCTCTCTCAGCACCGAGCTCTTCAAGCTGAAGAACGCCTACGAGGAGTCTCTGGAGCAGCTGGACACCTTGCGGAGGGAAAACAAGAACCTGCAGGGTGAGGAGGAAACCGGCCAGAGCCACCCCGCCCCACCCTCACCCCCCCTCGGATGCCTGCTTGCTCGGTGGCTCCGACTCCCGGGGCTCGTTTCTGCGTCCGGGCCTGATCCCAACTTGCTTTCTTTCTCACGGCAGAGGAGATCTCCGACCTCACGGAGCAACTGGGCGAAGGCGCCAAGAGCATGCATGAGCTGGAGAAGGTGCGGAAGCAGCTAGAAGCCGAGAAAATGGAGTTGCAGGCAGCGCTGGAAGAGGCCGAGGTGAGAGGGGACCACTTTCTTAATAAAGCAAGACTCTTGTAGGTGCGGGAAATCGGTTTCAAACTCCCCCCCCCGAGCCCCCCTGGCCTTGAAGCTGAAAAACTGACATTATAGCAAACTCGATGAAGATAGCAAATTCTATCCATCGCATGGTCTCTGGCTCCCTCTTGTGGCTCATTCTGGTAACTTCATCTTTAGAAATCTATATTTCTAGGATTTTTCTTTTAGTTTTTTAAAAATATTTTCAGACCTGGAATAAGTAATTCAGCAGATAAGGGAGTCCGACTGTTATAATATCATGTACTGTCAAGTCAGTTCTGACTTCTGGTGACCCTTTTCAGGGTTTCCCAGGTACAGAGTCCTGATTTACCCTTCCCTTCTTCTGGGGCTGCCCTGGGACCGGGCAACGTGCCCAAAGCCACCCCAGGGTGGGAATCAACCACCTAAACCCCTGAGGTCTTCAGCTCGCTCGCCTCCATTAAATACCATGTTTTCTTCTCTTTTTGTCCCGTGGTTTCCTCTCTTTCAGCTGCTTCTTCTCATTGGACGGCCACAAATTTCAGATTTGGTCTTGATGCTATGTTTGTTTATAAACACGACATCCCACACGTATCTACGGTCATCGTTACCCACTGTATTGTGCCGTCATCTTTCAGAAAACGGGAAATATATTTTACTTTTCCAAAGTTTTCTGGGTGACCTTAGGACAGAGAGTACCCCAAAATATCTTTGCGTGTGAAGCAAAGAATATTTCTCTCACACATCAGCCAGAACCCTGTTGTTTTTTGTATAAAGATTGCCTAATTTATCACAGCTAATTATGGCTAATTGGTGAGATGCCATTGTGTGTCTCAGCTGTGTGACTTGCCATACCCCTGATGGCACAACCAAGGTGGGCTCCCACGCTCATGAATTAGCCACAATTAGCTGTGGCATGTACTCAGACCTTCACACCAATACTGATACGATTGTGGATAGAATCCATCAAAATCCTTTGTACATCAGTATGTCTTTCAATAGTTTATGAATTACCTCACGGAAGCTTTCCTTGGCTCCGCCATTTTGCTTCTCTCCTTCAATCCAAAATATGGTTCTTACCCTCCAGGCCTCCCTGGAACACGAGGAAGGCAAGATCCTCCGAGCTCAGCTGGAGTTCAACCAGATCAAGGCCGACATTGAGCGCAAATTAACCGAAAAGGATGAAGAGATGGAACAGGCCAAGCGCAACCACATGAGGACGGTGGACTCGCTTCAGGCTTCTCTGGATGCCGAGACCCGGAGTCGGAACGAGGCAATGAGGGTGAAGAAGAAGATGGAGGGCGATCTCAACGAGATGGAGATCCAGCTGAGCCAAGCTAATCGGGTGGCATCGGAGGCCCAGAAACACCTCAAAATCACTCAGGCCCACCTCAAGGTAACACGGTCTGAGACATTTTGCGGTCCATTGTTCCAGCAGTTGAGGGTGGAGATCCACACCACCATCTGGAGATGATGGGGAGGAGAGCTTGGCCAACCTCGGTGAAGGAAGGCCAAGAGCTGTCCATGTTGGAAAACAGGACTGTCTGTTTTCGGTCACCCAGGACAGCCAGATCCAACTGGACGACCTCCTACGAGCCAACGAGGACCTGAAGGAGAACATCGCCATCGTGGAGAGAAGGAACGCTTTGTTGCAGGCTGAGCTGGAGGAGTTGCGGAGCGTGGTGGAGCAGACGGAGCGTGGCCGGAAACTGGCCGAACAGGAGTTGATCGAGGCCAGCGAACGGGTTCAGCTTCTTCACTCCCAGGTGAGCCGGCGTTTCTGCAGACCTTTAGAAGATCCTCCCCGTGCCGTCCTTGGCCACATCGCTGTGGTTTTTCATGTTTCGCACCAAGGACGTTGCCTGTTTTTAGTCAAAGGGGTGTGGGTGGCTTTGTGGCTCATTGGCCACGTCTGGTATCCCAAAGGCCTCAAGACTCCCCTTCCCCACAAAAATGTGGCCTAATCCTGGACAGTCACACGATCCAGAAGCCACCCCAAGCCATGGTCACTCAATGTTAAACCGTGGAACCCTTAATTTTAAAACCAAATGGGTGGGTACCTCCTACAGAGGCTGGGGGTGGCCTCTGGCTGTCCATCTTGACTACAACCCTGTGAGGGAGGCCAATATTATGATCCCCTCGATGGGCAGATTAAATATACTGAAAGCTATCCTGGGCGTTTGTAAGGGATACAGGAAAGGGTCCGTTGAAGACATTATTTTATCCAAACGGATGAGCAGATGATGCTACCCCTAACTCAAGATGCATAATACCAAAAGCTAACCAAGTTATATTGGGGCAAAAAAATTATTTATTTATTTTATTTATATCCCGCCTATCTGGTTGGTTAAGAGTGATACAAGCATCACTCTCCACTCCCTGGGAGTGAAAAGACAACAAGAATAAATTAACAACCCACAATTTGTTGCCTTTCATGACCCCCCAAATGGCAGCTAACGTAGAGGAACACCCCATGGTCTAATGGCAGGGCCGGCCCTGATTCTCTCCACACACTCTTATCCGCCAAGCTGCTCCTTGGCATCCCGGCTTCTTCCTGGCTTGTGCCACGGCGTCTCCTCCTCCTCCACAGAACACCAGCCTCATCAACCAAAAGAAGAAGATGGAGTCCGATCTGTCCCAGCTTCAGTCGGAGGTGGACGAAGCGGTGCAGGAGTGCAGGAATGCGGAGGAGAAGGCCAAGAAAGCCATCACAGATGTGAGTGGGAAAGAGACAAAGGGTGGGCGGGTGCGCCTGGCACTCTTCATCCAGAACTGGGCCATCTTCCCCCCCTTAAAACACAGCTGGGATGAACCAGAAAGGCCTCGTGGCAATGGCTTAGTGGTCCCCTTGGACTTCAACTCCCAGAAATCCTGGCCAGCAGAGGTGGTGGTGAAGGCTTCTGGGAGTTGTAGTCCAAGAACATCTGGAGGCCCAAGGTTGGGGACCACTGCGGGCAGCCCTTCTCAAGCTGGTTTCCTTGATTCGGGTGGGACACAGAGGATTTCAGATTGAAGCCGAGGTGCATTCCACCATTCTGAAATTGGGCGACCGTGCATGGCCCTAACCAGCATATAACCAGGAACGGCCCTTTCCTTTGGAGAAGCGAGAAGGAGGAGGCCATCCTGTGGCTATGAGCATGGCTGAGTGTGATATGAGAGCTATGCCTTGGCCATGTGCACAAAAATAAGCATGTCATAAGTTTTGGGGGAACTGCAACCATAATCTTAAAGCTGCAGAGCTAGAAAGGGACCCTACAGATCATCGCGTCCAGCCCCTGTCAAGGAAGCAACAAACTCCCAACCTCTGGCGAAACAGCCAGAGACCCAAACCACTGAACTGTTCAGTAACTCTCCTGGTATGGACAGAGTTGGTTGTCCTGAACTCATCCTCCCATTTTCTCCTCTCTCAAATATGGCGGCAGGCGGCCATGATGGCAGAGGAGCTGAAGAAGGAGCAGGACACCAGCGCCCACCTGGAGCGCATGAAGAAGAACATGGAGCAGACCATCAAGGACCTGCAGCTGCGGCTGGACGAGGCCGAGCAGCTGGCCCTGAAGGGGGGCAAGAAGCAACTCCAGAAACTGGAGGCCCGTGTACGGGAGTTGGAGAACGAGCTGGAGGCCGAGCAGAAGCGCAACGCCGAGAATGTCAAAGGCATGCGCAAGTACGAGCGGCGCATCAAGGAGCTGACCTACCAGGTGCGCGTGTGGCTTGAGGACTCGCCTTCTGTTTGGGCTTAGCAGGGGGTTGGATTGGGCTGGGAAATAAACGGGGTATAAAGAACCCCTGAACAAAGATGGGGAATATCCAGAGTTATAAGGACTGAAAACACTTCTGCTTTTGGTCACATTTTTTGGTCCTTTCTTGACCTATTTTAGGCCTGGGCAGGAGGGTTCCCCCCCCTCCAAAAAACATCTGGACCACTTCTAATTTTGAAGAAAGCCCTGCCCCAGCCCAAAACAGCTCAGGAGATACAATTAAAAAAAATAACTCCCCTTACTTCCTAGAATGTGCAAGAGACTTTTGAAAGTCAAATAAATGTTAGTGTGAGGCTGTCCCATGTTTGGACACATCCTGACAAGGCAGGATTCTCTGGAAAAGACCATAAGGATGGGCAAGGTGGAGAGCAGCAGGAAAAGAGGATGACCCGATACGAGATGGAGGGATTCTCTAAAGGAAACCACAGGTTTGAGTTTACAAGAGCTGAGCAGAGCAGCTGAGGACACGGCAGTTTGGAGGTCACTCATTCATAGGATCGCTGTAAGTCAGAGGCGACTTGGCGGCACACAACAACAACAACAACAACAACAACAACAACAACAACAACAACAACAACAACAACAACAACAACAACAACAACAACAACAACAACAACAACAACAAAGGGTATAGTACAGCCCAGGGTGTGTGTGTCATATTTGTGATGCAGCCATTATTTGCCGCCGGTCAGAGGGAACTTAGATAAAAGATACAGTGGTTGTAAGAAGGAGCTCAGGAGACTGTTGATAGACCAACAGAGCAAAAAAGCTGATTCGAAGGAGGTAGAATTGGCAGGAATATTTGAGGGAGCAAAACCCATTTGTTCTTATGTGTATCAGAAATAACTGAAACATTCCATTTTGGAGTGGTTCACACACACTCCAAACCATGGTTTGGACTAACTCGTTTGTATTCCAAATTATGGTTTATGGTAAAGGTATACCAGTAAACCATGGTTTGTACAACTTTACACAAGATTCCATGGATCCAAGCCTGAGGTATGAACTCCGAAGTCTGAGTGACATGACTTAATTGTGGTTTGGAAGCAAGCCGGTTTCAAACCTTAGTTCCTGGACGCCCTTTGGTGGTTTCTTTACAAACCACAGTTTATGAGACCATATGGGTACATATGTCACAAAAAACCATGGTTTGGCATGAACTCCCTACTGAAAAAAGATGGAGAGGCAGCTTATGGCCTTTGTTCTCCTTTTTCTTTGCATGTTTTCCTCGTTTGCAGACTGAGGAGGATAAGAAAAACTTGCTGAGACTCCAAGACCTGGTGGACAAGTTGCAGCTGAAGGTCAAAGCCTATAAGAGACAGGCAGAGGAAGCGGTGAGTTTTCTGGCTGCAGCCCCACTTTTCGGCTGTCCTTCTCAAAAACAGTTGCTTAAAGAGGTTCAAGGGCCTGAAAGCTCAGATTGCAGCTACAGTATTTTTAAAGGCTGCCTCTCCTTTGCCAAATAGGAAGGCTTTGCTAAACCTGAGCTGCTAGACTGCATGGATCGAACGGTCACTTCACACTTTGCAGGATAGCTTTGATAAATCAGACGACTTACATCTAGGCCCCACAAGCTGGCCTTGGGATGCTTCAGGCAAAAAGTATTGAAACTGGGGCTGTCCTATTTAGGGCACATCCTGAGAAGGCAGGATTCTCTGGAAAAGACAATAATTCTGGGAAAGGTGGAAGACAGTAGGAAAAGAGGTAGATCGAATACGAGATGGACAGGCTCCCCCAAGGAAGCCACGGCTTTTGAATTTGCAAGAGCTGAGCAGGGCAGTTGACAGCTGGATATTTTGGAGACTGTGCATTCATGAGACGGAACCAACTTGATGCACATAACAACAAGAAGTATTTAAGGTGCCACAAGTTTTATTTCAGTGTTTTGGTTTCATTTGTTTGCCATTCCCAGGAAGAGCAAGCCAACACCAACCTGGCCAAGTTCCGGAAGGTTCAGCATGAGCTGGATGAAGCCGAGGAGCGAGCAGACATTGCTGAGTCCCAGGTCAACAAGTTGAAGGCCAAGAGCCGTGATGTGGGAGGAAAGGTGAATATCACCGCTTAGCTGCAGGGAGGGAATGGCCTAGGAGTCAGGTGCCAAAAAAGTGCCACGAGGTGGATTCTCACTGATAGCCAGCAGAGGGCGCCCTATGAACCCACGTGTTTTTACTTCCTGGGTCTTTCTGTTTCCTTCCGATTTCCTTTTCTCCCGGCTTGCTTTCTCTCTCTCTCTTTCCCACCTTTTGTGGACTTTTAAATGTTATTTTCATAGTACAGCAGGACTCCCCTCATCTGTGGGATCAGAACAGCTGATTCCTTTATCCGTGGTCTGAAAATATTAAAAACATTAAAAGAAAAATCCTAGAAATGCATCTTTCTATAGGTGACGTTACCAGAACTGACCACTAGAAGGAGCCAGTGACCATGCTATGCCTAGTGTTCGCTAGAGAGATATATTTCCACCCTGTAATGACCAGAACAGGCCATTAGAAGGAGCCAGAAGACATGCGACGGAGAGCGCTTGCTATTAAAATAGGATTTGCTAAAATTTGCATTTTTCAGGATCTCTGGAGTGGGCCTTGGAACTCGTCCCCGTGGAGATAAGGGGGGGTCCTACTTTATTTCCTTTTCCCTCATTTCACTAGCAGTCTTTTCCCCCCTAGAAATAAATGTGAAATCTCCAAAGCCACATCTAAGCCGGGCCCTACCCTTGGGGAGTGTGAATCGCTAACTTGCTTGAGCAGAGCCCATTCTCAAGACCAGCCCTTTCTGGTCCACCCCTAAATCTTCCCACATTCTTGCAACCTCTTCTACAACACCTACTCCTTCCTCACTATTTCCCTTCTCCACTTCTCTCTTCCAGAAACTTCATGACGAAGAGTGAGGAGTTTGGGCGATCGTCGGCTGAACGAAAGCGGCGCTGAGCTGCCGGCCTCTTTGAATCCACTGTAGCATAGTCTGATTAATAAAGTTGAACCGCAAATCTAACGATCTCCTATTGACTGCCCGTACCATGAAATCCCCTTTTCCACCAGAAAAAGCAGGGTTTGTCACGACTTTCTCAGAGGTCGATACTCAACAGGTACAGATTTCCAAGCTGCCCTAACTTGCTGCAAATAACTTGCTGTCTGAAGAAGACATTTGTTTTATAACCAGACCTGTGGTTGAGGCTTTCAAGAAAAAATAAATAACACGAATCCAGAATTTTGGGAATTATGGCTCACTTGCGCCCTCTGGTGTTCTGACTGAGCATCCACAGGTCTGGCCATCCAAGTTTCCACCACTTTTTATTTCCCAGGTTATAGCACAACCTAGTGGCCAGTCTGGAAAATTACACTCCTTCCACACACAGCCCTCCAGAGACATACCCCGTGAATCTAATTAGAAAGGTGTAACGAACATGAAGCATTGTGGGTGTCTTAAAAACCAACGGATCATCAGTGGATCTTCCTCTAATCCTCCCGGGGAAGACCTTGGCTTCTTTAAGCCGGTCAGTATAAATCAGCGGTGTAAGGAAACTTGGTCTTGAAGGGCTGAGGCTCCAAGACTCTCCGATGATTGAGGACTAGCATCTCTTGCCAGCACCCCCACCCCACGTTTCGCTGGTCCCTTGAGCTTAGCTGCAGCCCTGTTCACCACTGCCAAAGAACTCGATTCTCTCCAGGAATGGGAAATTGTTGCACAAAAACCCCTGTGTTTTAATGCAAAGTATTGGAGGAAAAATAGGGAATTAAGAGCCATTCCATTTGCAAAAGACCTGCTCTTCATTCGTTGCTGAGTCCAAATCCAGATGCTTGCATTTTTTTTTTTTACTCTCCTAGTAGCAGGGCTGCGTTACTGGATACCTTCCCTTTCAGATTTCCCCTACACCCCTGGGGCCAAGTTGAGTTCCTCAATTGCATGTCCCCAAAGTAACTAAAATGCACACCTTTCCAAAAGATGTTGTCTTCCCCATGGCCCGTGTCTCCCTTAAGCTTCTGGTGCCCTAGACATTTTTGTACACTCCTCTGAGAACGGCAGAGGTGGAAGGGACTTTATGGATGATCGAATACAATCCCTGTCAAGGAGGCCCCGGGGGGGGGGGAATCAAAGTCCCAACCTCTGGCTCCGTCTAAACCGCTGAGTTACACCCTCCCGTTGTATCTGCACACACAGATACCGGCGTGCTCCATGCTCACAGTTTCTCTCTCATGTGGGCCAAGCTTCCTCTCTGGCCCAGCTGGGGGCAGGAGACCTTTCTGGAGGGTAACGCCCAGAATCTCTCAGCCAGCGTGGCTGGTGTAACTTTCCCGCACGCCGATCCATCCGACCCTATTTCCGTTCCCAGTCAAATACCTGACACAAATTCATATTGACGTGCACAGCCATACGGGTCCGTCTGGCTTCATGCTCACATGGACTCAGAGACATGCGCTGGGCCGTATTAAAAGCACCTTTAATCTCGTCTCTCCCGGCAAGTTAAATACAAAATCATCATCATCATCATTGCAGGAGTCAACACCGGCATTGACATGTCCCCAATGTCATTCCATTTAAAAGGGGGGGGGGTTTGGAGGAGAGAAAAAACAGGCAACAAGGTCTCTTCTGGAGGGACACAGATTCCAGGGGGCTCTTCGGTCCCGCACAACGAACAGGATTGGGGGGATCAGCCCCCCCAGGCACCGGGAGGAAGATGAGAGGGCTTTCGATGGAGAAGCATAATCAGATAGGAGACCGTCTGCAGGGGAGACTCGTGCGGGTCAGGGAGCAGCAGGGGCCGCCGGCAGCTGTTGCCCCTGCATGTGCGTAGCTTTCTTCCACAAGGGGGGGGAGAAGCACACAGATTTAATCAACCAAGATCGGATTCTGTAAAAACAAAAGCATAAGAGGTCACGCGCCCGTTTGGGCCAACACACAACACTGATCTGCTATAAGGAGAGTCCGAGACACCATTAGAGTGAAATAAATTGCTTTGCTGAAACTTGTGGGTGTCCGATCACATTTGCTCTCTGGCCTCAACATCACCCACTTTACTCTGATCCTTGGCCTGCTCACGGGTGGGCAGCGGATATGTGTGCCCTTCTCTGGGCCTTGTAAGGCAGCACCTCTGATACCCCTGCAATTTTTTTCTTGCAAAAATTGGCCTTGTTTTTCTGAAAAAGCCCCCTCCTGGTGTGCCCTTCTCTGGGCCTTGTAAGGCAGCACCTCTGAAACCCCTGCAATTTTTTTCTTGCAAAAAATTGGGCTTGTTTTTCTGAAAAAGCCCCCCCTCCTGGGTGCCCTCTAGTGGTCAAAAATATTTTCAAGCAAATGGCTGTAAATTGGGAGACCCAGAGGCCTCTGGAGCAATGTTGCCCCCTGTACCTTTTAGAAGGCATCAACGGGGGCAATTTTGAAGGTGAGGACTGTATTTGCATCTCTAGCAGGCTGCCTATGGTCCATATGCAGGGGTGGCAGATGTTATTCTGATATTTAAAAGGGCTTCTTAGGGGCTGAACCTATTTGGGGTGGGGGGGTAAGGCTCAGCAGCACCTCAGATCTGTCCTGTAAAGTTTGGAGTAAAACCCAAAGTGGATTTGCTAACCCCACCAACATGGGCGCCATTGGTGTACAAAGGTCCCTGCTCCCTTCAAAGACTGCAGTTTCCTCCTCATCACTCTAGTCCTCATGCCTGGAGCTGCCTCCATGCATGGCTGCATAAAGCCATCTCACTTTCTTAAAATCTTTGTTCAAAATCCATCTTTTGATCCTGTATTTTTTCCTCCCCTCCTCTATCTCCGCTCCATTGGAACTAGTCCAGAACTTAGTAAACTTAATATTGGACTATAATTCCCCAGAACGGTCTGGTCAGTGGAATTTGGGAGCTATCATCCAAAACACACACCCCCCCGAAGGCTGATCCAGTTAGAGTTGACTAATTCATCTCAACGGATCTACTCTAAGGCAAGAAACATTTCCCTTTGTCAAAGCCTAATCTTTTTCTGGAGAAACCGAACTCTCTGAACACTGGTGACATTATACTATTGCTGTTGTTCTTATTATTTCCTAAGGCACAACATTTGGGGACAGATGGATTAATCTTTTGCAGGGAAAATGACAGAGTCTTGGGCCTGTTTATGAACCAAGAAGCTTCGTTTGACACATGCTTTCATGGCCTGCAACTTAGCTCATCATCTGATGAGGTCAGCTTCAGGCCACAAAAGTTGATGCCACGTCCTACATCTTCTCTGGGTTATGGTGCCATAAGTCGTTAAGATCCCAGGGGACTCTTAGTTATGACTGCCACAACGCCTTCCGCCCTTGGAGACTCTACTCCATGGTTCCCAACATTGGGTCCCCCAAATGTTCTTGGACTACAACTCCTAGAAATACCATATTTTTCCATGTATAAGACTATACTTTTGTCTAAAATCTTTAGACTAAAAATTGAGGGTCGTCTTATACACGGAAGTAAGCTGAGGAGAGAAGAGAAAACAAGTGGAGGGGAAAGCAGGGATCAAAGCGATCCTGCGGTGCTTTGATCCCTTTCCCCCTACACTTGCTAAGCCCCACTTATTTTTCTTAATTTTGGATTAGAAAAGTGGTGGGCGTCTTATACATGGAAAAATACAGTACTTGGCCAGCACAGCTAATGTTGAAGGTTCCTGGGAGTTCTAGCCCATCTGGAGAAGCCAGCTTGGGAACCACCACTCTACTTCATCCTCAGTTTGTGTCACCCTTTGTGCATCCTCAGAACTTCGTGGCGTCCACGTTCTGCTCACCCTGCTCCGATCCCATCTCTGCCCTGTAGGTTTTATAGGCATCAAAGCAGAAAACGGCAATAACGATAAGGCTGAAGACCTGGGAAAAAGACAGAAAGCCATGAATTTCCAAAACGGGAGATGAAGGGACGTCAGGCATTTGTGCTTCGGGACCCACATATGGAAGGGGGGGGGTGTCTTAGGGAAACGGTGGGTGACTTCAGAGGGTCCATGACAACGCCTGCCCTCCTATAGATCTTAGAGGGCTACACTCAACTCTCCTCCACCCCATTCTTTTTGGCCCCAAAGGTGGCAGATCAAAAATTACCGAATCCAGAGAACCCTCTGCCAGTTTTATATAGACCCCTAGTTTTGTTTTAGGTAATTTTCTCCCCTCAAAAAACAGGAGCTGGCTATTCTCTTCTGGTTTCCAACCATGTTGGTTTAGAACTTAAACTTACTGTATTTTTCCATGTATAAGACACCCCCATGTATAAGACGCCCCCCACTTTTCTAACCCAAAATTAAGAAATCTAAGTGGGGCTTAGCAAGTGGAGGGGAAAGCAGGCATCAAAGCCCTGCAGGATCACTTTGATCCCTGCTTTCCCCTCCACTTGTTTTTGTTCTCTCCTCATCTTCCTTCCGTGTATAAGACGATCCTCAATTTTTAGTCTAAAGATTTTAGACAAAAGTATAGTCTTATACACAGGAAAATGCGGTAATTTAAGATTCAACAAATACTAAATTAATTTAAAGATGGCATTTAAAAAAGCAAATCACCCCCTCGACTTTTGGGAGATTCTGATTTGCCATTTGAGGTTTCGAAAATATTCCCGAAGGCCCCCCCACGAAGGTTTCTGGGGCCCTACGTGGCCCACCTCCCCTCTTGAGGGTCCCAGGGGGAGGAGCCATGATAAGGGGTGTGGCCTAGCCAGGAAGTGAACGTGAGACCGAGAGAAAGGGGGGTAACTCACAAAGGCTGACACAGCGGACCCCTCGTGACTGGCCGCTATCACAGCAAAGGCCACTACAGTGAAGACAATTGCAGCGCTAACACAGCGAAGGAAGTCCTGCCATGGGAGACATAAGGGTCACCAACTGGTTAAACTGGGGGGGGGGGGAACAAAGGCAGAACACGACAACATGACATGTGGAGGAGGAGTGACTTACCAGGCAGGGCCAGTTGACCCGGGTTAGGCGCTCATAGTAGTGCGTGGCTCGCAGTCCAAGGAATGCCAACGTCACCAAAACCTCCAGCAGCGCAGCCCCCATGTAGGCGGACACGGAGGCCGTGAGCAGCAGGAAGACCAAGAAGCAGAGGCCCTGGGAAATGGGGGGGGGAGGGATGGGGAGAAGGAGACACAACCCAGCAAACCATGAACCATGTCATCTGGGGATGATGGAAACTGTGGTATTAGCCCAACTTTGTCTAGCGACCTGCCAGTTTGAGGAAAGCTGTTCTGAACGTGTTCTCCTGGGTCTACCCTTTAAGCAAGGGATCCCGTTGAAAAAGTGCTTCATAAGTTTTTTTCAAGTCATGAGTCCCTTTTAGAATAGCCAAATAACCTCCAAAATACAGAGAGAGAGAGAGAGAGAGAGAGAGAGAGAGAGTCACATTTGCATAAAAAGGCAATGAGTCCCTTTTAGAATAGCCAAATAACCTCCAAAATGCACACAAACACACATACACACCCACACACACCCACCCAGTGTGTGTCACATTTGCATAAAAAGATATTTCCAGTGGAGTAAAGAAAACCTATTAAGAATACATTTTTTAAAGGAATCTAATTCTAACCTAATATTTAATGCAAGGGGGTGTACTTGCATTCGGGCAATACTTTTAGAATAGCCAAATAACCTCCAAAATGCACACAAACACACATACACACCCACACACACCCACCCAGTGTGTGTCACATTTGCATAAAAAGATATTTCCAGTGGAGTAAAGAAAACCTATTAAGAATACATTTTTTAAAGGAATCTAATTCTAACCTAATATTTAATGCAAGGGGGTGTACTTGCATTCGGGCAATACCTAAGGGTTGAAACCCTTTTGCGGTGAAGCGACTTGTAAAAATAACGGCAAACTAAAAATAATTGTGCTGACCCTCCCAGAAAACACGCCTCGACTCCCCAGGTTAGGAACCCATGCCTTCAAGGGATATATAAGAGTGATCTCTAAGCAACCCCTCAGCCACCTCATAAGCCCTTTTTCTAATTTATAGCTTGCAAACACCCACCCCAGGGTGTAAGATGGCTTCAAAAAGGAAGGTTTTTTTAAAGTTACTGGACAAAAGGCACTGTTTCTCTCTCTCCCTGCCCTCCAAATTTTCTGGGGTGTGAAAAAAAGAAGGAAGGAAGGAAGGAATTGAAGAGAACTAGGTGGTTAAAAAGAAAAGCTGTTGACCCCCCCAGAACCCCGTCCGGCCTGCTTTCGTGAATGCAGGAGGAGAATGTCAAAAGCCCTGCCTGGATCTACTGCCTGGAAGCCCATCGACCAGAGAGGACCCTGGACAGAGCAAAGGGGGGGGGCAGGCAAGTAAAAGGATATGTGTGGGTCGGAAAGCGAGGGGTCTTCAGAAATGCAGCAGTAATGGATTTGGGAACCTATGGGTAGCAAAAAAAAGGGGGGGAAGAAGGCGAAGAATAGAAAATTAACACCAGCGGCCAGCCAGGAGATCTATTTAAGGAAGGAAGATTT